ATTTAAAGTTAGTCATGGATGGTCACACAAGCTTTTTTTTTTAAGTCACATATGGGTAACTTATGTATCTGTGACTTAAGATCATTAGAGGAGAAACACACAGAGGCATATATGATCATATGTGATTTGAGAACATTACAAAAAACATACATAACAAGGAAGCATTCTAGACTATGAATATAACTCCTACAAATAAATAATAATATGCCACATTGCACATTTAACATTAGGTAAGAGAGTTAAACTCTCCTTCCATAAAAAAGTATTTCCAAATAGTCAAGAAGCGAATTAATAGATGCTTAACATTAAAGGAGCTCTGGTAGCATAGTGCCTAAGGCATTTGACTGCTAACCAGAAGGTTGGCAGTTCAAACCCACCAGCCACTCCACAGAAGAAAGACAGGTCAACTCACTTTTGTAAAGATTTACCACCTCAGAAACTCAAAGGGGGTCAGTATGAGTTGGAATTGACTCAATGGCAGTGAGTTTGGTTTGGTTTTTGGTTTAACACTATTTGTGGAGTCAGACCCAACTCATAGCAACCCCTCTTTGGGTTTCCAAGGCAGTATCACTATGGAAGTAGATTGCCCAACCTTCCTTCTGAGGAGTGTCTGGTGAGTTTGAACCACCAGCCTTCTGGTTAGCAGTCAAGTCCCTTAGGCACTATGGTACCACAGCTCCTTTAACACTATTTAGGAGATGCAACTTAAACAACAGTGAGATAATAATAAACAAATATAGATAAGTATTCAGTCTTCTTAGAAATCAAAGAAATGCAAAATAAAATAATTTAATTACATTATTTTAATTAAAATAAAATAATTTAATTTAATTATTTTAATTAAAATAAAATATAATTGCTTGGTTATTAAATGATCATAATTAAAGATATTATACTAGTTTTCTAGGGTTGCCATATAAGGTACCAGAAAGTAGGTGGCTTAAAACATTAGAAATTTATTGTCTCACAGTTCTTGGGGCTAGATATCTGAATTCTAGGTGTTGGTAGGGCCATGTTCTTTCTAAAGACTCTTAAGAGAAGATCCTTTATTGTCTCTCTTAGCTTTGGGTAGTCCCAGGTTTTCCTTGGCTTGCAGTGCAATCTGTACACCGTGGTCACATGGTATTCTTTCCTTTGTGTCTCTATCTCTTCTCCTCTTTTATAGAGATACCACTCATATTAGATTAGGATCCACTCTACTCCAGTATGATCTCATGTTAACTGATAGCATCTTCAAAGATCCTATATCTAAACCAGGTCACATTAGCAGGTATTAGGGGTTAGAACTCAACAAAGCTTTTGGGGAGACACAATTAAACCCATAACAGATACTAATATTGTATGCCTAAATGTCAGCCACTCCCCGAAAGGAAGGTTGGGCAATCTACTTCTGTAGAGATACTGCCTCGGAAACCCAAGGAGGGGTTGCTATGAGTCAGACCTGACTCTATGGCAGCAGGTTTAAATGTTAAATAAAAGAGGCACTTCATGTGCAGCAGGCATCAATTTAATTTCATTTAACTATTTAGGAAAATATTTTGGTATTACAGATCCAGAGCCATAACAATGCATATATTCTTAGACCAAAAAAATTCCAATTTTAGGTATAATCCTAAAAGCAAAAAAGAGATCTCACTGCATAAACATGTTTATTACCACATTGCTTATGATACTGAAAACTCTGCTTATGCATTTTTAGAACAGAATGAAGAAATAAATGATTAGAAGCATATATCTTTGGAAACATGTCCAACAATAAGGAAATCTGCTACGTAGTAGATACTGATGATCAATGGTACTAGCCAAAGAAACAATGAAAACCAGCAGAGAACCATCATAGGGAAATGGGGAAAAAAAAGAAAAAATGCCTTATACCTTTTTCTGTCCCTCAGCACACTGTAGGAGCTTGGCCTTGAAGAGAGAATTGGGGAAGATTTCTTAGAGTCAGACCACCTCCCCACACCCTTCACTCAAAGCAGTATAGGATGTAGATATAGGATATAGATCAATCTTGCCATGGGGACAGTGAGTGGTAAGAAGAGGAGTTGATATTTAAATTGAATTTGAAATTAAAATGATAAAATTGCAGCAGTTGTAAATTAACAAAAAGAGATTCTAAGGCTGTGGAATCTTCCCTAGATGTCATTAAGTAATGGAAAAGACAAATTCAGCAGAATACAGCTGCAAAACTCTCACAGGTACACCTCGGTGAGATGTTTGCTATATATACCAGTTGCATGAAAAATTTTATATATGGGGGAGAGAAAAAACAGAACGAACATTAAGATATGTACCTAAATTTAACGATAATTTTCCTTGTTTTGTAAAAGTATTATTTTTTATTTTCATGTTTGCTTACTTTGTATTTATAATTTTAAATTCTGGTTAAAATTTTTTTTAAAGATATGTATCAATAAGTATTACAACATAGTTAAGGTAAACTAGGTTTTAAGATTATTTGATGTTCCTTTACTCTGTTCTCAATTGGCAAAACCTCACTGTGAAAGAAGTGTATATCAAGCTGATGCCAATTTAATTAATAAAACTATATGTTAAACTATAAGCAAATGTGGGCATAACAGGAAAAAAGTGTATTAAAAATCTAAATGTATTAGAAAATGTGTTAGCACAATATGTGATAAACACTTGTTGAATAGTGATATTACAAAAGAAATTATCTTTGGACTCATCAGCTAAAAATTCTTATCATCTCCAAAATAGAAAAATATATCCTCAACAAACAATATGCTGATGAGGAAAAGATATTTCTATTGATAAATTGGACATTTTATAACAGAAGAGTATAAATGAATGCGACACTAAAGGAATTGATAATTAACACAAAATGACTAAGAAAATTTCCTCTTGTTGAATTTTTCCTAGGTAATTTGATCAGCTTCTGAAAATTCAGGGAGGTGGGAGAAAGGGAATTATGTAGAGGACAGTTTGAGGGTTTGCGGTTCTTGGGTTGGAAAAGGATCATCAAAAGTGGGGGGTAACAGAGAAGAGTAAGAGGCCATCAACAAGTCTGGGTTTGTATCTCATATTTTGAAAAACGAATTACATATCCTTTTCATCTTCAAGTACTGATTTTATGCCTTTCCATGAGGATTTGGGGAGAATTTCTGTCCTTCACTGCAGCCCTAGGCAGTCATTGGTTTAGTATCCTGATCAATTATACCCTTCAGTCACAAACACTTGTTCTGCATTACTGAGCTGTTCTGCACTTCTAATATCTGTTGTTTTTACTCTTCTTGTTCACTGAACCGGCCCTTCTCCTCAAACTATGTTTTGTCAACTTGCATTCTAAAATCTTGCTCAAAGATCAAATTGTCTTTCTGCTAAATTGTCTGTTTTATGAAATCATGATTTATGAAATCATACAGCTCCCTTCCTTAAACCCCCTATGCTTCCCCATATTCAATATTTGACACACTTGTCCTATGCTCCCTTTCTCTGATGCACTTAATGAGTTTATTTCTTGTTACTCAGTAAACTGCATAATAAAGAGAAATAGGATTAGATGAAGACCAATCAATGCTGCCAATGTCTTGATATTTCTTTAAATTTTACCTTCTAGGATATTTTGTTGTTGTTAGGTGACATCGAGTTGTTCTAATTCATAGAAACCCAATGTACCACAGAATGAAACACTTCTCAGTCCTGCACCATCCTCACAGTATTTACTATGCTTAAGCTCGTTATTGCAGTCACAATGTCAATCCATCTCATTGAGGGTATTTCCCCTTTTCGCTGAAAATCTACTTTACCATATCTTTCTCTAAGGAAAGATCCTTCCTGAAAACATGACTAAAGTCCAAGACACAGTGTCACCATCCTTGTTTCTGAGGAGCCTTCTGGTTATACTTCATCTAAGACGTTTGTTTATTCTTCTGGCAGTCCATGGCATATTTAATATTCTTCACCAACACCACAATTCAAATGCATCAATTCTTCTTTGGTATTCCTTATTCATTTTCCAGCTTTTACCTGCATTTGAGGTGACTGAAAACACCATGGCTTGGGTCAGAGGCATCTTAGTCTTCAAAGTGACATCTTTGCTCTTTAACACTTTAAAGAAGTCTTTTGCAGCAGATTTGTCTAATGCAGTATGTCGTTTGATTTCTTGACTGCTGCTTCCATGGGCATTGAGTGTGGATCCAAGTAAAATGAAATCCTTGACAATTTAAGTCTTTTCTCATTTTCTCATGATGTTACTTGTTGGTCCAGTTGTAAGGATTTTTGTTTTCTTTATGTTCAGGGGTAATCCATACTTAAGGCTGCAGTCTTTGGTCTTCATCAGTAAGTGCTTCAAGTCTTTTTCAATTTGAGGAAATGAAGTTGTGTTATCTTCACTTCTTAGGTTCTTAAGTCTTCCTCCAATCCTGATGCCATGTTTTCTTCATATAGTCCAACTTCTCAGATCATTTGCTCAACATACAGATTGAGTAAAGATATTTCTGACACTTGCTTTGTGTGGATCCCCTGATATGTCCTTTAGAAAAGTCTATTTATACTATTCTATCTCCCTCTGGAGATATCTGTCTTCAGTCTCCAGATATATTTACCTAAGTAAATACTTTCACTCTTCAGATGCAAATACCTAAATTATCTACTACTATTGCACTTCTCTTCCTCAAACCCCCTATGATTCTCCATATTCAATATTCAACATACTTGTCCTATGCTCCCTTTCTCTGATGCACTTAATGAGTTTATTTCATGTTACTCAGTAAACTGCATAATAAAGAGAAATAGGATGAGATGAAGACCAATCAATGCTGCCAAAAGACTATCCAAAGAAAATGGCTGTATTAATATGGTTATTTTATGCCTTGCTCTACCTCTAAGCTAGAATGAATCTAATTAATCTTTTCCACCTCAGCACCAAATAGGTCTATGAATTTCTAAGATACTTTTCTACATGCAATCAAGGGAAATCAGGAAATTCTGCTATTTTCAACTCACCAGATAACTTGCTGTAGTACAGTGATAAGCCATCATACTGAGCCTCTGGTCAGCTGCCTGAAATATTGGAAATATTTTCTCAAGGTCCTTCTCACAGCTGCTTTCACCTCATCGTTCTTCAGACTGTAGATGAGGGGATTGACCAGGGGAGTGATTGCACTGTACTGCACAGAGAAGATCAACTCCAATGGTGAACCTGAGTTTGGCATGACATAGCGAAGGAAAGCTGAGCTATAAAATAGGAGTACTGCATTGAGGTGGGAGGAGCAGGTGGCGAAGGCTTTCCTTCTACCTGTGGAGGAGCTGATGCTCAGGATGGTGGAGACAATGAGAGCGTAGGGGGAAATGATTAGGCCACAGGTTCCAAGACCATGCAGGAGGATGGAGCAGAGCATAACAGTAAAATTGGTGGAGATATTAGAACAGGACAGAGGGAAGAGTGAGGGCAGCTCACAGCTGTAATGGGGGATGGACATATCCTCACAGAAGTCCAAATTCATAGCTAGAAGGATATTGATAAGTGCATCCAGGAAACCTATGCTCCAGGATCCCCATGCCAGCCCCTTACAGAGTTGGTTGTTCATTATCTGGCCATAGAGCAGAGGGTGGCAGATGGCAACATAGTGGTCATAGGCCATCACTGAAAGGAGGCAGACTTCAGTGCCTGCAGTATCAAACAAGAAAAAGGCTTGAGCCAGGCAACCCTCTATAGAGATGTTTTTTCTTTGAGAGAGCAAATTCTCCAACAGCTTGGGCACTGTGACAGAAGAAAAGCAAAGATCCAGAAAAGAGAGGTGACTCAGGAAGAAGTACATGGGCTTCAAGAGATGAGAATCCACTCTGATAACCAGTAACATCAACAGGTTCCCCATCAGAGTCTGGAGGTAAACTCCCAGGAAGAACACAAAGAGCAGAGCCTGAATCTTAAGATCAGCAGACAGTCCGAGGAGGGTGAACTTGTTTATGGTGCTGTGGTTTCCCCAGGACATTTAAAGATTTTTTTTCTTCTGTGAAATAAGAACAATAAGTCAACTGAGCCCTCCACTGACCCCTGCCTATGTTCTAGAATATGTCCACACTCTCCCTATATATTCCCCTTCTCTAAGTCTGTATTTTATTGTAAAGATTTCAAAGCTGTTTTCACTGAACCCTAAAGTACTTTTTTCCTACCCTGTCTGCAACAAGGGAGCTTTGGTAGCATAGTATGTAAGGCATTTGACTTCCAACCAGAAGGATGGAAGTTCAAACTCACCAGCCACTCCTCACAAGGAAGAAGGAAGGCTGGGCAATGTACTCCCATAGAGATACCTCCTCAGAAACCAATGAGGGGTGGCGATGAGTCAGAACCCACTCAACAGCAGTGAGTTTGGTTTTATTTATTTATTTGTCTGCAACATGATCAATCATGTTATTTTTAACTTATACTTGATCATCTGTTCAAAAAGACACACTCATTTATGTCACCTTCTTCAGTTGGGCTCATAATTTCATCTTCATCATCGTGTCTTGTTTTTCAGTGTGTTTCTGAAAGTGCCTGTGATATACCTTCTCTGCTCTCCCTTATACTTCATTCTTCAATTTTTTTCAACATCCTTCCATAACTTATTAGTGCTTAATGACAGCATGTTGTACTTGTTTAGTTTTTTGTCATTTGCATGGGTATTTCACATATTTTATCTTATTTAATTTAAAGGGACAAGACTAAGAGGTTGGTATGCATGATTACATATGTGTGGGCAAATGGAAGGGAATTTGGTAGCACTGAAAAAGAAGACATCTAACCCACTTTGCAGATGAGAAAATTAAAGGTTTTTGGAAAAATATCAAAGTTCCTACATTAGTTGGGTTTGAGTCTATGTTATGTCTCTGTCAAGAGTTTTTTTTGTTTGTTTGTTTTTTAAATCAAAATGCCTCTTGGTCACTGCCCATAGCATAAAGTTAAATTTCTTCTTGATATTCAAGAGCTTTCATCATCTGATATTGTCTTGACAGTAACACCTCCCACCACTCCCCAAATGGCCTTATTGTCATTCCAAATAAAGGCCATCCAAGGTAATCACCACCGGTCACAACTTAAATTCTGTCCCTAAACACACATTAGACTGAATTGGAACAACTCTGGGAGACATAGCACATAATTCTGGATTTCAAATTTAACTTCTTTATGAATACTGTAATTGTTTATCTTGGGAGCTCTGGTAGCATAGTGCCTAAGGCACTTGAGTGCTAACCAGGAGGCTGGCGGTTCAAACCCACCAGCCACTCCCCAGAAGGAAGGTTGGGCAATCTACTTCTGTAGTGATACTGCCTCAGGAACCCAAGGAGGGGTCACTATGAGTCAGGTCCGACTCAAGGGCATATAACAACAACAACAATTGTATATCTTTGCCAAGTGACAGATACATGAGATTTCTTTCTTAGAGAATGAGAAATATAACAATTCAGAAAAATGTTAATTGAGTTTTTAAGTGAATGAATAGTTAGCCAAATAAGGGTCTATAGTTTAGGAAGATCGGTAGCCTAAGATGAATGAGAAGCCACTGCTCATGGAGGTAAGATTTGGGTAGAGTTACTAGAATTGAGGCTTCCTGAGAATCTGAGGCAGTGCATAGACACCAATGTGCATGGGGACAGGACGCAGAGAGAAGAGAAGGCTGAGAGCTGGCAATAAGAGTGCAAACCTAACTAAGGAGTCAAATCTAATTATGCCAGGCCCTTTCAGGCTTTCTCTTCCTTGCCATTTACCTGGTTAAGAAGTCAGGGCTTTTTATGTTTACTGTCTTCATTTTGTATTGTTACCGAGCAGGGTCCAAATTTTTATCTTTGTCTAATAACAACATACATCTTTATCAGCTTGTGATTTTTAGACCACTTTGACAAATACTCCATCTGAGTCTTATCATTTCAATCCTCTAAGAGAAGCTAGAATGCTCTCCATTTTACAGATGAAGAAACTGATGCTGGGGGCGGGGGAAGGTGTGTGAGAAGCAAAACTTCCTACAATCGAGTTTCTATCCCCGAAACACAGGGTGGCTATCCTTGTACACGATCTCATTCTCTTCACTACTTACCTCAGTGGACTCCACAGTTGGGGTTGGAAGTGATGGTTTAACAGTAATATTGGAATTTGGGATCTACAAAAGAGGATAAGCTTAGGCTACAAAGAGCCCACTATCAGCTCTGAATGGTTCTCCGCTCTTTTCCTCAGAATGCAAAGCTTAAGCTGTATGGCTTTAGCATTCTCTAATATTTCCCGAGGAGCTTGGTAGTGCAATAGTTAAGCAATTGGCTGTTAACCAAAAGGTCAGTGGTTTGAACCCACTAGCACTCAGGAGAAAGATGGGCAATCAGCTTCCATAAAGATTCCAGCCTTGAAAACCCTGTGGGGCAGTTCTACTCTGTCTTAAAGGGTTGCTATTGAGTTGAAATTGACACCATGGGACACAACAACAACAATCTTTCTAAGGCCCCAGGCCATGCAGAGGTTGTGCCTAGAATGAAAGTATTCCACATCGGCAATGCTCACTGTTGTTGTTATGTGCCGTCGAGTCGGCCCCGACTCATAGCGACCCCTCCTTGGGTTTCCGAGGCAGTATCACTACGGAAGTAGGATTGCCCAACCTTCCTTCCGAGGAGTGGCTGGTGGGTTTGAACCGCCAGCCGTCTGGTTAGCAGGCAAGTGTCTTAGCCACTATGCTACCAGAGCTCCCAGAATGAAAATATTCCACATCGGCAATGCTCACTACTACCCCGGAAAGAAAAGTGTCCCTCCTGAGCGGCTGAGTGCAAGAGTCTATCAAAGGGAAAAAGTAATAAAGCACTGATAGAGCTCAGCATGAGGAAGCACAGAAAGGAAGAAGATTCCAAGTGAAAGGACATCTTTATATAGACAGGAAAAGAGAGGATGATGAGAGAGAAACAACTAGACAGAGCTGGTAATGAGGGAACATCTTCAGAGAAATCATACCTGATCTACCAACTCCTGGCTTTTTTTCTGGTACAGATTGCATCTGTTTTTCTGTCCTGTCCAATAAATGAGCTTATTTAGGATCAGTAATTCTTCACACATAAGAGGAAAAATTCTTCTAAGGTTCAACTATAGAAACAGAATATAATACATGTTTTTCTTGTAGAAAGCCAAAAAACAGGCGAGAAATAGAGTAATCCAAACTCTTGATAATCTCTAAGGAAAATATTCAGTGTCCTTATCCTTGGACCTCTTCCCCACTAGCCACAGTGGAAATATTCAACAAGAGAAGTACAGGATTTCTCTCATGTGATCTCAAGTCCTGTCACTTAAACATCTCTTCATTTATGTCTCATTGTGAATCTAAGCATAGTAGTAAGGTATTGAAGAAGTCAGATCTATCCTTTTAGAAAAAGGTGCCTATGTTTGAAATGCCAGTGCATGAGCCAGCAGAGCCTGGCACCCAAGAGACATCTGGTAATGATGTGAAATTGCAGCCTGAGGACAGATTTTAGCTCATTATCTAAGTAAAGGGAACTTTTGAAGAGGCATGGGGAATTCTCCAACATGTGAAACTTTTGAATCTTTTGAATTGACCCAATATTTTTAAATCTCTGAGAAATTTATTGGGAATTTTCAGTAAATATGATATTCTTTTTACTCTTAAAAAACTTATATTCCAGGAAGAGATCTTATGCACATTTAAAAAATTTTATTCCTTAGAAGAATAAATTCAGCCCAAACCAGCTGTTTGGTGTCTAACTTTATCTCATTGTATTGATTGATTGTATCAGCTAAAAATTTTTTCTATACTTGGTCTTTTATTAAAATGCTATTTTCTTGTGAATTTTTTCTTTTCTGATGAATACTGATATGCATGATACCATATACTATTTACTTATATCTTATACATGTATATAGCTTAGACATGTTCTTTGTTCTATTTCAAATATTTCCTTTATTCCTCTAATGTAAGTGTAATATTTGCCCATAAAATAAAACTTGTATCATATTTTAGACAACTAGTTTTCTGCATCTAGTTAAAGAATATATACCTATGTATTAAGGACTCTGGTGGCATAGTGGCTAAAGCATTTGGCTGCTAACCAGAAGGTTGGTGGTTCAAACCCACCAGCCGCTCCATGAAAGAAAGAAGGGGCAGTCTGCTTCCATAAGGATTTACAGCCTTGGAAACCCAGTGTGGGTTACTATGAGTCAGAATCAACTTGATAGCAGTGAGTTTGGTTTGGGTTTTGGTTATTCTCTAGAAATAGTATTTTAAAAAAAGATGATAACCAAGATTCTACTATTCCTCAAGAAATTTTCTCATTTTATTGATTCTCTTCCCAAATAACTATTATTCAATGAGTAATGTTAGCTCCTTCTATAACCTTAGTTTTATGTCAGTCCCTAAGAACACAAAAATGAATGACATACAATTAATAACGTGAAACAAAATAGGTATGAATTGCTGAAGGAAACTGATTTGTTCTGTAAACCTTCAATTACAAAAAATAGGTTTTTTTTTTTTTTTTAAAGTGAATGACATATGGTCCCTGCTCTTAAAATGGTGCCAGTCCATTGAAAGACATGAAGATAAGACATTGTAAAACAATGTAATTGATGCAAAGGGAGGTCAAATTGTGATTTAGTGGGGGGATCAATAATAACATTACATTGTGAGAATTTTAGACAAACTTTTCAGTAATAGAAGTCTTGTCTTTCATGCTGAAGATCTGGGTTTGAATCACAATCGATACATCTCACTAATCTATGGTGGACTTGATAGCGTAGTGCCTAAGGCACATGACTGCTAACCAAAAGGCTGGTGGTTCAAACCCACCAGCCACTCTTCAGAAGGAAGGTTGGGCAATCTACTTCCGTAGTGATACTGCCTTGGAAAACCAAGGAGAAGTCGCTATGAGTCGAACGGCACATAACAACAACAACAACATGATAATGAAGAGGTTTGAGCAGATGTTGAAGACAATGAAGAAGGACATTGCAATTTACTTTTGAAAA